CCTATGTGATTTCCTGCTGGAGGGCCAGCCATGATGGGTTGGTTCTGACACGATGATACATAACAACCACAAATGTGGGTAAAATAATAGTTTTAAAGATTTGAAAGACATTTAAGATAGAAAACGCGGCATTGCATTTCTTTACTATACGCAAAGGCACCTGAAGGCAAAAATTTGAGTACTTTAGGAAAAAAAAGTTGATAAAAACAATCCTAGAAAGAGAACACATTACTAAAGCCCAAAAAATTATAGTTCACTGTTTGTCCTCATCGTGCAACTTTTCCTATAATTTCTGTTCCTTTCAAAAATTTAGGTATCATCCTAAAATTCCATATTTCATTTGCTTTAGGACTAAGTAATATTAATTTTGAATTTAAATTCAGTTATTGACAAGCTATTTACATTTACCTTATGGGTCAGTTATAATGTAATTTTGATTTATCCAAAACTAAAACCCCTTATATTGTTATTGTTCTTCACTTAGTAACTAATACTGAAGAAAACTCTATAAACATGCTACAGTTGAGCATAATTTAGCTAATGATAAACTTTGTAGGATACCTGAGAAAATGTCATTTGACTTACATATGTTATGTTGTTGTCGTTATATGCTGTTGAGTCACCTGTGACTCACAGTGACCCTATGTACAATAGCCCTAAATTATGCTCTATCCCTATGTAAGAAAAATTTTCACTTATTATGATGCGTTTTTGCAGAGTTCCAAAAACATATAAAATATCTTTAATTTTGTTTAGAGAATAATGCCTTGAGTATGGTATATTTCACACACATAGGTATTTAAAAATATTTCTTAAAACTAATATTCTTTGGACTAATCCAAAGGCAAGATTATATTTTGAATCAGTTGGAGAGGGGATGAAAATGAAAACGACTGAACAAAGGTGATAAAAATCAAAGAATAAAATTTATACTGAAGCAGTTAAAGTACCCCTGGAGATAAAATAAAATACACAATTAAAATGCTGGTGAGCTAAGACACTGTTGCTGTTCAGTGCATTTGAGGTTCTGACTCACACAGAACTACTTCATAGGGTTTATAGGCTGCAACTTTCACAGGAGCAGGTCAGAATCTTTCTCCTACAGAACTGCTAACTGGCTTGGAACATCAGTATTTCAGAGGGCAGTCCAGTGTTCAGGTGCCAACAGGGCTCCTAAGAGGAAACCAGGCCTATTTCTGGCAGAAGTTAAACTAGAATGAAAGAATACTCATGAATTGACTGGGAATTATTTTTCAGAGGGAGCTGAAATAAGCACACTGGATGCAGACAGTTTTTTGTTGCTGGACTCTGGGAGAAATTAATACGGCAAGGGTGTTTAAACTTCAAGTTGACATCTAGAAAGAACAGGATAAACATTATCATTTCCTATAAAGAAAACAATGAAAAATTCGATGAACAGGTAAAGCATCAAGATTAAAATCTGAACACATATTTATGTATTATTTGTTAGATATATTAAAAATAAAGTGGCAAAGACTAGGCGGGAAGGCTACAGATGTCAATGGCTACACTAAGGCTATACAGCGATCTAGTTTGCAAGTAACAATTCAAGTGATTAGGAGATAAAAAAAACTCATGTAAGTGGGTAAAATAAAGTCCAAAAATGACAGCACAGCCTTGGTGACAAACAGCCAACCAAGTAACTACAGGTGCTATGGAAAAAGGAAGTACTGCACTGTCACAAAGTGACAAGACTCATTTAGAATACAAGCCCAGTACTGCTCCCCAACTTAAGTGTGTTCAAGAAAAGTCAGATCTTTTCTATTTTTAGGGAAACTATTTCAATTTTAATTAAAAGTTTAGCAACTACATCATTTTGATGAATGTGTAGGCCAACCTGTATCAGGGCCACCGTGGTCTACAGAGAGTCGGTGTGTAATGTGATTTAGATTAGCAGCTGGTACTTGCTGGGATGTTATTAGTACGCAGGGAGGGGGAAGGGAAAGTCATTATAATAACGCACAAATGAAAAGCAGTATTATTCACCTCGGGGAGAGTTCTAAACCCCAAGGGCTGCTACAATACCTATTTAATCATTAATCTAACTCCTGGGGTTCAACCTTCAGGAAGCCTACCTGAAGTGCTTATATAACATTAACCGTCGCCACTGCTGGAAAGCATGGGATTCCTTACCTCCAATTTTTTTTTTTAAAAAAAACAAAACCCCAAAAACTGAAACAGGTAAAGAAGACAAATTCTCATAAATTAAAACACTAAAGAAGCTCTTATAAATACTATCGTTATTACATAGATCCTGTGATGTATATTTTAAAACAACTCTGAAATTTGAGAAATGCCTTACAACTCATAGCTGTTGTTGTGTGCCATCAAGTTAGAAATGACTCACAGTTGACCTTCCAGCGGGTTTTCAGAAGTACACTGCACAAGAAAAGAATGCCTATCTTCCTCCTGTGGAGGAGCTGGGAGATTTGACCACATGCCTTTGGGATAGCAGTGTAATTTCTTATCAGTAGGCCACCAGAGTTCCCCAGATTGTTAGGTGTTATTGAATTGAGTATGCCTCAACCTGACCCTACAGAAGGCAGACATGAAAACTGTTCTATCCTCTAATACTGTATCTGTCCGTTTTCCTCTATTGTTCATAGGTTCTTTAAAAGTCTCCTATTTCAAAAGTGGATGGCCAATGGTGCTTCGTAGCTTGTTTTAATCTGGGAACTCCACCAAAACCTGTCCACTATGGCTGACTCCTCTGGCATTTGACACACCCGCAGCACAGTTTTCAGCACCACAGCAACCTACAGGTTACCTCAGTACAGCATACTTGAAAGACAAGTATTGCAATGTGAGAATGGTGCCTTCATTATCTATCTTTTTATATTTAAAACATTTTAAACTACGTGAGTCTATTACTTAGCCAAAATCTTAATGACTAAATATTCCTAATGTTTTATTTACTAGCTATAGGATTACTGTAACTGATCAATTTTCAGGACACTTATGTTACACTTAAAAGATCTGCAATGAGAAGAGATTAGATAAAACTTAAGGAAAAGGCAAAATAGTAATCAACAAACACAAGAGCGGTTTTAAAATAGACTTAAAAAACTAGGGTGGAATATTAAATAAAAGGTGATTGAATGAATATCAAGGGATGTAAGGAAACACAATTGTGTCCCTGTTTGGCCAAAATTTACTTTCAAATCAAACATACAAAGGCATGACTTATCAATTTAACTGTAAAGGAACACAATTTTGGCATATTATAAATGACATTATTTACTGATAAAATAGAATACGGTCCAATAATTAACCTTATCACTAATTGCTGTCAAATCAGAACGGCCTCACAGCTGACCCTCCAGCCTGTTTCTGAGGCTGTAAATCCCACAAGGGATTGTCCTTCTTTCTCCCTTGGAGCCGCCAGAGAATCGGAACCTCCAAAGAGGCACCATCTATGTGTCAGCAGTACAACTCCCCAAGAAGCAGGCTGCCTGAGACCACTAACAAGGATTACTTACAAAGGTAAATTACCATTCTTCATAAAGTTATTAGTATAGTGTTTTTTCACAAATATAAGGAAATTAAAATCAGCCAGAAAACATCAAACCACAAATTAAATAAATATGTGTGTATATATATATAAGAATATATATAAAAACACATATCTGATAATTAATGATGCAAATTTAGATATCTTTCATGCAGTATACAATCAAATTTCAGTGGTAGTCTTTTATGATAATATGAAAAATTAAAATGAAAAGCTAAAACTTGGGTCTCATGACAATTAGGATTCTTAGATATTTAAATATTGCATTAAGGGAACAGTAGAAGGGTTGCAAACATGAATGCATTATAAGGATTATGTTACAAGCTGAGACAAGAAAAGCAGCTCAAACACCATTCTGCCAGGAAGAACTGCAAAACAAACTGAAATTAGACACTGATCCTTCAAGACACACAACACTTTCCACACTTACATATGACAATGATTTTTAAATAACAAAAATAAACCTATCAATGAGAAGACAGTCTTTTTATAATGTTTGTGAATAACAGCTAAAAGAATGAATGTCTAGAAGCTCTATGTTTTCTTGAGGATCAGTATAAATTTCTTTAATGGAGAATTAAAGGTAAGCTTTATGTGGGTTTGCCAATGCATTATGTACCTATCATACTGTAGGTCCCCTCATAATTTTTTTTTAAATAAGTGGTAAATATTAAGAGGATAACAGCACAATTCATAATACATTCTCAATGATTCTAATACATTTTTCAACAATAATTTGTGAACCAGCAATTTATCTCATGGAAATAGCTAGCTTTACTACTTTTGCAATAAGATTATAGATAACTTTCCATTATTCTTTTGTTGCTTAAACATAATTGTTACTTATAAAAGTATTTATGGCTTGTAATATAGGCTATGTGAACCGAAGTATACTTGAAATTGTACTGTGGATATTTTAGTATTTGTTAACAAAAGGTTAACGACAAGAAAAACAACAAAGGTATTAAAGTTATTCTGGTCAACATTATGACTATCTAATTTACTGTTAAATACAATAAACTAACATTTGTAATAGGAAACTACTTTAAATATCTTTAAAAGGCATATATTAGTCCCTGTTAATTTTCAAAAGCCAGAGTGTCTGTTTCAGTAGACAGCTCAGGCAGACCACACCAAGAGCAAAGGCACAGTGGGTTAGTGAACTGGTGATGGAAACATCAGATGGTGTTTGTGACACATCAATGGACCTACAGTAGTGTTAGTGCTGCGGAAGCTAATGATGCTTTTGGCAAAATTGGGAAAACATGAATACCATGCAGTTTTACTGAACTCACCTGACAGAGGTGTAAAACCATTCTCTAGGAGCAGAGATGCATGCACAAAAGTAAGAATATGATTGCAAGTAACAGACTTTAAGAAAATAAAAATTTAACACTAAACTTCAAAAATGACAAAAAAAGGACAAGGTGATGAGACTACTGTGGTGAAAATACTCTGTGTGCCTCACCTCTCTCTTGGCCAGCAGCACGTTAGGAACAATGTGTGGCAGGCAGCGACCCAGCATCAGCATAACACTTTTTTCACTGTCTGCGATCCGTGACACCTGAAAAAGCAAGAGTTCATAACCACACAGGGTGGTACCTCAAGTTCACTTTGGAAGCCTCTCACCTTAGCTCTAAATATACATTCCAAATTATGACTGAAATGCTACCACCAAAACCCACATCTCCCAAACTGGCTAAGTATTTCTGTAAACCAGCAGCGGATTAAAAACACCCATAAATAAGTAAAAGTGAAGCCAGTCAGAGGGAACTGCTAACTCTACTTTAGTACACAAGAGACGGCACAGGATGGTGGCTACATTCATTGTGACCCTTATGTCTTTGAAGATGCCCCCAAAATAAGCAATTACTGCCTAACACTACAGCTTGAACAGCCAAGCTGCACATTTCAGCAGCTCAACAAAGGGGATCCAGTTCTGCAATAAGAATTGCTACAACTGTGTCTGGACCAACCACTAGCTCTTTGATACTGCCAGTACCACTGCAGGACAGAGGCCATGAGGAGGTCACCTAACTGGATTTAGTTAAAAGACAACTAGAAAGGGAAGAGGAAGGAAAGAGATGACAATTATGACATGTGATCAGTATTTAATACTAATAACAGAAGCAATCAATTCCATTCCTTCAAGTTTAAAATTTAAGGAGGTTCACAGTACTCATTTGAACATTCCTATAAACAGTAGACTTGAATTAGAAACAGACTGATGCCCGCTTCTTTTAGAAGGAGATCTAAATACTAGAGAGGGAAACAGCAGGATACTTGTGAGTAGTAGCAAGAGTATGAATCATTTACCTCTGATCCCAAGCGACTATCTGCTGACATTCGACAAAAAGAGAGCAGTGCTTGGTGGAAAGCAGGAGACAATTTCCTAAAATATCAGACATTAAAGAGTTATCAACATTTAGGATCAAATAGAATGCTATGACACCCATTCCTACACCAACTCTTCAAAGAGTCACCAGCTTTCTCAGCTGCCAGTGCCTTGAAGAGCACTTCTTGAGAGAAAAAAATCAGCAGCAGCTGCTGAACCTGACATATAGCATGACAGGTGAAGGGCCCTTACACGTGAGTGAAACCCCAAGTTGTTTATATAAGAAAAAAAGTGTAAAACTATCTGCATAACTAGAAATGAAGACTTCCCTCTGCCAAGCCTATGCTGTTCAGCTGCTGCGGGGTCAGCTCTGACACAGTGATGCTACCCACAACAGACCGGAGGCTTGCCCTATCCATGTGACGCTTACAATCTCTGCTCTGCTTAAGCTACTGTGGCAGTTACCATGTCAATCACTCTTGTTGATAATCTTTCTCTTTTCTGCAGACCTTTTATTTTTCGTCCAAAGTATGTGGAGATGATGTCTTACTATCCTTCTTCTAGGGAGCTCTGGTGGCCTAGTGGTAAGAAGCTATGCTGCAATCCCAAAGGCACACAGTTCAAATCTACTCACTGCTCTGCAGGAGAAAGATGGGCAATCTCCTTCCATGCAATTTACTACTTCTGAAAACCTACTGGAGGGTCAGCTATGATCAGTTCCAACTTGACAGCACACAACAATTACCTTTGCTTCTAAGAAGCAGCTTGGATTCATTTCTTCAAAGGCAGATTTGTTTGTTTTTTTGAAAGTTCATGGAATATTAAAATTCTTCACTAACATCACAATCCAAAGGGAATGATTTTTCATGGTCCCAGAAATACAAATAGTGGATGCCAAGGGTGGCCTAGTATGTTACAGAATCAGTTTTCCTGCTATATGATAAACTTGAATGTTAGAAACCCACAGGAAAGAAGTAAAACTTGAGAGAAATGAAGATGAGGCTCATTCAACCTAAGCTGTTATGTTAGGTGCTGAGTTGAGTACAACCCACAGTGACCCTCTGAACAACAGATGTGAACCCTGTTCTATCCTGTGCCATCTTGACAATTTCTGACACACTCCTGCCCATTGCAGCAGTCTCTGTTAATCCATCCGGTTGAGGGTCTTCTTCTCTTTTGCTGACCGTATCTTTTCATGACTATTCCTTCTCCAAAGAATAGCCTCTCCTAGCAATATGCCCTAAGTATGTGAGATAAAGTTTCACCACCTTTGTCTCCAAAAAGCACTCTGGCTGCACTTTATCCAAGATGTATTTGTTCTTTTGGCAATCCATGGGATATTCAGTATTATTCTCCAACACCACAGCTCAAAGGCATCAATTCTTCCTCTGTCATCCTTATTCATTGTCCAGCTCTCAGATGCACAGCAAGTGAATGAAAAGACCATGGCCCAAATCAGGCACACTTTAGTCCTCAAACTGACATTATTGCTCCTTAATGATTTGGAGAGATCTCTGATTGCAGACTTTCTGGGTGCAATACGTCTCCTGATCTCTTAACTGTTGGTACCAAGGATGTTGGGGTGTTGACCGTGGATCCAAGGAAGACAAAGATGTTAACCATTTCCATCTTCTTCGCATCTGTCATGATGTTGCCTATTGGTTGAGTGTGAGAATTTTTGTTTTCTTGCTGCTGAGATGCATGCAATCCATACATAAGGCTTTAATCTTTGATTTGCAGCAAGTGCTTCAAGTCCTCCTCACTTTCAACAGCAAGGTTGTGTCATCTATATATGAATTGATAAATCTTCCTCTGATTCTGATGCCACATTCTTCTTCATGGTGTTCAGGTTCTCAAATAATTTACTCATCATACAGATTGAATAGGTATGGAGAGAGGACATAACCCTGACACACACCTTTCTTAATTTAAAACCATGTAGTGTTCCCTTGGCATTCATCATTTAGGATATACTTAAAAGAAAGTTTCTTTTTTATCAATGAAAATATGACTCTGTTGACTTCTACTTGGGATTTGTATAAAGAATCACTTCTATTTTTAAATTTATTTCTACGCAGTTTTACTGTTAGGTACTGTTCAGATGCTTTTGGCTCACAGGGACTCAGGGTCTAACAGAAGGAGGTACTGGTCTCACTCCATGCTTGAAATCCTGGCTATGTTTGAGCCCATGGTAGTGGTCACTCTGTTAATTGCTCTTACTGAAAAGTTTCCTGTTTCCTTGCCCATATACTCTGTTGTTGTTGTATGACTTGTCGAGTTGCCTGCGACTCACAGTAACCCTATGTACAACGGCCCTAAACCCTGCTCTTATCCTGTGCCAATCTTACTGTCTCTGACTCACCTACTGCCATTATCCCAGCCACTGAATCAATCCACCTCATCGAGAGTCTTCCTTTCCTGCGCTGTCCCTCCACCCTCCCAAGCATGATGTCCCTCTCCAAGGACTGGCCCCTCCTTGCAACATGTCCAAAGTAGGTCAGACAGATGCTTCAGAATCCTTGCCTCCAAGGAGCAGCCTGGTTTCACCCTCTCCAGATTGAACCTGTTCATTCTCTTAGCAGTCCATGGTATATTCACTACTTTTTTTAAAATTAATTAATTTATTTATTTTAAATTTATTGTTTTTTTATGGGTGTGTTCCATCAAATTGGGTCCTACTGGTACAAGAGGAAATTTCCCCTCCTCCAGCAGAGCACCAGTGGATTCAAACCACGTGCCATGCCTTTGGGATTACAGTGCAGCTTCTTGCCACTAGGCCAGGAGAGCTCCCTGGTATATTCAGTACTCTTCTCCAACACCACAGCTCAAAGGCATCAATTCTCCTTCTATCATCCCTAGTCACTGTCCAGCTCTCTGATGTATAACAAGTGACTGCAAAGACCGTGGCCTGTATCAGGTGCACCTTAGTCTCCAGACATTGTTCTTCAGTACCTTGGAAAGGTCTCTGACAGCAGACTTTCCCAATGCCAACATGGCTTTTAATTTCCTGGCTGCTGGTGCCGAGTGTTGATTGTGGCCAAGCAAACTAAAGATGTTAACAATCTCAATCTCTTCACCGTCCCCTTCCATCACAATGCTGCCAACAGGCCCTACACTAAGAATCTTTGTTTTCTTGATATTGAGCTTCAATCCATCTACTTTACCAACCATAATGTCCTTCTCTCGTGGAACTGATATTAGTAACATATTTGTCATATCACCTAGTTAATCTGTATGCTGAGCATTTGAGAAGATGGACTCTACTGCACTGGGAAAGCTGGTAGTGGACTAAGGTGCACCTGATTCAGGTCACGTCTTTTCAGTCCCTTGCTGTGCATCTGAGAGCTGGACAATGACTAAGGATGAAAGAAGAATTGATGCCTCTGATCTGTGGTGTTGGAGAAGTACATTGAATATTCCACAGATTGTCGAAAGAACAAACACATGTCTTGGAGACTCTCAACCGGGAAATAACTGCTCCACACGGTTTTCAGGATGTAACCTTTAAGGAGGCAGACTGACACATCATTCTCCTATAGGGAGATGAAAGGTTTGAACTGTCGACCTTTTGGTTAGCAGTCCATTGTTTAACCACTGTACCACCAAGGCTCTAAAACTACATAATGGAGCTTGTGAGGTACGCCAGGTATCAGACCCCCCCCCAGTGTGGCTCTAGAGTTAACAGTGCTGCACCAAAGCCCATGCCTGTTCGCTTCCTCCTTCCATCCAGTTATGTAAGCCAGAGACGTCAAAACAGCCTCAGCCGTTTCCTCTTTTAATCTCCAAGGTGGCTCTCTCTGACCATCCCGTCTACCAGTCCACTTCTTCCCACATGTCCACACGCTTCAGATGGGGCAGCACAGGTTGAGATGGCTTGTCTTTGCCTGACTCTCCAACCTCCTCCCCTTCTTTCATGCTAACAGCATTCTTTTGAAAAATTTTCTTTTATAAAATTCAATTTCTCAGTAATTTCAATTTCCAGGACAAAGAAAATTGAAATAAATACAGAGGGTTTTTTAATGATGCCAAATTAGTAACAGAAGCAGAAACAGGAAAAAATTAGGAGCAAAACTATTTCTCTTGTTGGTACAGACAACTAAGTACACACCAAAACTGAGTTTAATAGTCAAGATAGACTATATAACATGTTGACTGTTCATTCATCTGTGATATAAGTTCATTTAATAAAACACAGTAACATGTTTTTGTAAACATGCACCTTGCTATGTGATAAGTTCATGCTAAATATAAAGCTTCACATGTCTGATAAGCAAAAGCTACTTAAATTAGAAATAAGGCTCTTCCAATTTAAATGTCAATGCACTAAATGGCTGAATGACAGACTTAAAAATAGGACACATACTCACCTATTAGGTTTATCAAACTCAACTGCGCTTTTACTTGTTGGAGAAGATGTCGCCCCTTCTCCTCCTCTCCTTGGGAAGGAATCTGAGGCACTCTCTTTAGGAAGAGTGGGCTCTGCTTTACTCGGTAGTGAAGGATCAACATCTGTGCTTCCTCCCTTGTCTGAACTATTTACAAGTGAATTCTGTCCACTCTCTTCAGGGTCTTTGTGTGAAGACTGATCCAAAGGGGGCTGAACAGAGTCACAGGACACGGTGACAGCAAAGTGTTCATTTTTGAGGAAGTGCATTTCACTGTAGAAACAAAGGACAGTAACAACAAAACAAATCTCTTTTTAAGATGCGCTGAATGTGTGATATACAAACAGAAGAAGTTTTTGATTAATCTTTTCTAGATCAGATTCTCTAATGTTTCACACAGACACTTCAAATTCTAGCCGTAAGCTCTCATCAGAAAAGCATAAAAATGGCCTTTCAGTATAAACTTTGCTCTACATTAGTGGTAACTATTCTTCCATTATAAGATTGTACCTATTTAATAAACAAAATTTTAGCACTTAAATTCCTTTTCTTCTTTTTCAAAATGGGGATAATGTCATCTAATTAAAAGAATTATTTTAAGTATAAAATGAAATCATGAATGAAAAATATGCACAGCATTGACGTGGATGCAAAGTTGTTATTTACTGATTTCGACAGAACTCAGATAAATAGAAAGCATCCTATTCTTTGGTTCTAAAACATTAAGATCACTTCCATTTAATTGTCCTCTTAGGGAAAAAAATTTATGTGTATACATACACATTAATGGAGTAAATAAATGGACCAATTGTAAGACTTCCACTTTCAGAAATACTGTAATTTGAGTCTTAAAACAGAAACATGATTTCCTTTATTTAAATCATCTATCAATTCATTAAAAACTTTAAGAGGTTTCTCAGAAATAACTTAAACACTTACCTTTCAAGTCTTCTGATCTGCTCCATCAAGGACCATTTCTCACTATTTAATAAACTAATTTTATCTTCTAATTTCTGTACTAGCAAGGAATTCTAAAATAAAAAAGGGAGAAAAACAGAAACTGAACATCTCATAGTATGCTTTTACACAGTTTAAACTCCGTCTGTGGAGCTGCCCAGTTAGATGATCTCTCACCTCCATGGGCTGAGGGGTTTCAAAGGTTGGAGGGAGGCCGCCTAAAACTGGCGTCAGAGCCTCCAGCTCCTCTTCTTCCACTCCGCTGGCCACGTCCACAACATCTTTCCCAACCACCGGGTGGTTTCCAAAATCTCGGTAGAGCTGGAGTAAGTCTGGAGGTTTGGGGATATTTAAGCCTACATCATCCCATAATTCAAAATCCTAAAAGGAAAATGAGTAAAACTTATAGGAATAAAAATGACTTCTATAAAAATTACAACACCTATGTGGTGATTTTTTAAATTTATTTCATTCCTTTCGCTCTCAAAAACTCAAACTCACTGTCATCGGGTCAGAACCAACCCATAACTGACCCTCCACGTGGTATCTGAGCTACAAACCACATGGGAGAGATTTTCTGTCTTTCACCTGGAAAGCTGTAGGTGCATGTGAATCTTGGGAGAGGAGCAGCCCACGAATTAGTGCAACTCTTTACAAATTTTGTTGCCAGAGTTCTTTTTGCTAACATATTAAGAATCTGCCATAATCATAATTTTGTGTTTTCTGTCCAGATGTTGAACAGTTTTTTGTTTTTCAATCTCTTAGAAACGTAAACCCTAAGCACTAGAGAAAAATACTGTCACCATTCCCAGGCTCCCATAATTAAGAGAGGACATAACATGATAGGTGAGAACTAAAGTATCAAGACATTTCTGCTGCTGTGTATCACCAAGTCGATTCACACTCAGAGTTACTGTACAGGAGAGATGAGACCTGCCCTATAGTGCGTTAGGCTGTAAAATCTAGAGTTACAGAGTCTTTCTTCCTGTGGTGTGGTGGGGAGTTCAAAGCACCAATTTTTCTTTCAGTTAGCAGCCAAGCATTTAACCCACTGTGCTCCATAAACTCAGAGATAGGAGTCAATTTCTCTCTTGGAGCAGAGTTAAGGAAAGGTTTCTGAAAGTGATGACAGTGGGCTCTCTTAGAGTTCTTTCTATGCATATGGCAATGAACTATTAGAAAAAAGACCCCACGTTCTGAAGAGTCTTAGGTGTGAAAGACTGGAATGACTCTAAGAAGGGAAAGATCATGCTGGAGAGGTAAGCAGAAAGGTAAGCCAATAAGAATGATTTGATATGGTTGCTGGGGAGGGGAGAGGAGGGGAGGGAAGGAAAAAAGAGGGGAGTAAAAATTAATAAATAGAAATATTAGGTGAAAGGAAAAGCAATACATATTAAGGGATTATATCACACATTGTAATTAAGCACATTCATTAATTATAATTAATATTATGAAAGAAAACATATCAACGACTGAATGAAGAACAGTATGATTTGTCAACTTTTATTCAAATTTTTTATAAGACAGATTAACTCTGATGCAATTCTGTGGCAGATAAGGCAGTGAGAGCGAAAACCAACTCCAAGTGTGGTTGTGGAGAGCAGAGCTTAAGAGTAAAGAGCAGATTAAAAGATGGGTAAAGGATGCAGGTCCTTAATTAAGAGATAAGTTCTACTTATAGTTATAATTTCTAATTATTTGTTATTAATTACAGAATTAATTCTGTGCAGGAGGAAGATGGGTAATCTACTCCCATGCGTTTAACTGCATCTGAAAACCCGCTGGAGGGTCAGCAATAAGTCAGTTCCAGTTCTACAGTGATTGCTGCTAGCACATAAAGTTTGTTCTTACTTACTGATCTTGTATCCCAAAACTTTGTTAAACTCGTTTTAGCAGCTTTTTTAGAGAGTCCATAACATTTTCTATACAGACAATCACATCACTGGTAAATAAAGACAAATTAAGTGGATTAAATATTTACTGAGAAGCTACGTGGAAAAAATCTGTCTGTAGAAAGCTACAGGGAAAGAATAAATCTGTAAGTCAATATAATACTAGACTAGAAGACAGAAGGATAAATTGATAAGGAGGCCAATCATAGAGAAAAAGAAAACATCGCATGACAGTTCATAGACATTCTGTTCCCAGAGTTGCCCTTCATTGTCTCTTCACGTTCTCTTCCTGTACTGGGCTATTATCCTTCATCATGCGGTCCAGACAGTTTGGAGGATCCCTTCATTAAGAGTAGATGAGCTTCCAAAGAGAAACAGACATAAAGACACTGACAAGCAAGAGTCTATGGAAAAACGGCCCACTCAGATCAACACCGGTGAATGTTACATTAGTCATGAGTAGATACCAAAGGATTTCAGCTATATGGAGAAATGTCAAATGTGAAACACAGAAACCAATAAATGAGTATGTGACAAAAGGCTTAGAAGAGAAAGCTGAAGAACTGCTTAAAATATGGTTGTGGTGGGAAGCTGGAGAAAAAAACCCTCAGGTTTAAACTGAAATAATAAGAGTTCTAGACCGAACAAAGAGCAAACATAAAGAAAACCATCACAGAAATATTTCAAATAATTTGAATGACTGAAATACCCTGCTTATTAAAGGATGAACAGAAGCTAGAATTGAAAAATGTCAGCTTCTAGATTTAAAAACAAAACCAAACCAACTCCAATGAAAATAAGAACTGTAACATACATTATTGTGGCATTTCACAGTAACTGGCAACAAAGATCAAAAAATAAGTGAAACAAAGAAAAAAGCCAGGAATTATAATGGCATTAGGTATCTATGTAGAATTCTACCAGAATCAAGGTTACAATGGAATGTTTCAGCTCCGAGGAAAATTAACTTACAACCTAATAAGATTCAATACTTATTCACATTGTTTAAGCATGAAGGAAGGCACAAGACAACAGGATCAAGTCTTCAATCTGGTTAGTATAAGTCAAAAGACAATGTAGAACGTTAAAAATCAGGAATACAGGTATTCTACTTAAAGTTAGGGGAGCTCTGGTGGCTTAGTGGAAAGGAATTATGCTGCCAATTCAAAGGTATGCCGTTTGAATGCCTTAGGTGCTCTGTGGGAGAAAGACAGGCAGTCTCCTCTCGTGTGACTGACTTACTGCCTCTGAAAACCCACTGGTCAGCTATGGGTTGGTTCCAACTTGACAATATACAACAGTAACAACTTAAGGGAGATACACACTAAATCTATTAGTTAAGAGAAATGAAAGTAATACTCTTCTGGAATGGGAAATGGCAGATTGAAGATAAGTGGGCAAGGGAATGCGATTAACTAAACTAGTTGAGTATTACTATTTATATGTGTAACGTCAAAGAAAATGGGGAACAGGAAATGAGTAAACTAAGGCAAAAAATGAAAAGAAAAAGCAAGGAAACTTTACCTGATCATCGTTTTCATCTGAAAAGGTTATGGATGTAAGCTTGTAATTATTCTTCAATAAAAATTCGTTAACTAAGAAGTTTAGAGCTCTCTTTTCAAGAGGTTTGATTGGCTCCTGGAGGCAAAAATGAAAGATGCAATCTGTTAAGTTCCCGCTTCAGTGTCTGTGCTCCTATTTTATCAGGAAGATACCTGGAGATCTGCCATTTACTCACCTGAATTTCAGGACTCGATTTGTAATTTTTTCGTTCCTGTAAAGGAACTTCATTCTCTGGGGGAGGAATAAATTGTAAATAACATTTTACTATTTTACCTTTAAAAACATCTCAGCTAAGTCTACATTATTAAAGTAGAAAAAGTCTCAAAAAAAGTTTTATGTACACCACCTGCAGCCTTTGTTAGGTTTGCTCGGAGGGCCTGAATGGTCTCCTTGGCTTTCCGTAGTTCAAACTCCAGGACTGGACAGGGATTTGGAATAAACACACACAGGCATCCAACCAAGAAAAGGGAAACAAAAATAAAAAAATAAAAAGCAAGGATGGGTATGGAAAAAAAATACAATTTGTATTGAAAACAGAAAGCATGCAATCTTTATGAAACTTGTGAACGCATGCAGCAGAGTTGATTTGCAAGCAAACTGGTGAATATTTTCCATAGTTTTAGAATAATTTAGGGGACTACTGATCAGGTGGTCCTGCTGTCTGACAGGGAAAAGCACTACTTAAAAGCAAACTGTGGCATTCTTTGCTCCAGGTAAATAAAAATACTAGTCATCTGGGTAGTTCTACTTTACTCAGTCTACATAAGAAAATACAACAAGATGTATTCAAGTAACAAAATATTTTGGGGGAGAAGATAAAAACAGATGGAGCTCAAGTAACATACTTTAAAAATATTTTAGACATATTTTTATTTAAAAAGTACTTTCAGAATTCTTTATCTAAATGTCATTAATCAATGCATAGAAACAATAGTAAATACATTCCTTCACTAAGATGTTTCACTAAGATATGGTTTAAATACTTAAGATGTGATGGAATGTCGATATATTTTTCTGAAAACGAGTATATAATATACATTACATACATTTTTTTTTAAAAATAGGGCTTTTATACTAGGTTTCACTTTAAAGGTAAAATAAAAGTTTCTCTTTTAATTAAGATAATTCTGGATCAAATGACTGTTCATATTTCCTAAAACTGCAGTTATCCAAGATTAAGTAGCATTTTAAAATTTCTATTAACAACTCTTGAAATAGATTTTTCCATTTTAAGAGGTACTGATAAAATAAAAACTTTTCTTCTTTACCAAGTAGCCTGAGTATAAGATAAATATAATAAATACTGAGGAAGCATTAATAAGCTCTTTAAAATGTCTAGTTATACACACAGTTTAATGATATGCATGTTACTTGGGAAATTATCCTTAAAACATGCATGCTTTTCAACTGTGGTGAAAAAGAAAACTTAGAAACAGGGATTGGGAGCCATCTCAGTGAAATAATGCTCTGAGAAAGTGAAGTGATCTTAAGTACAACTGGGTCTCTGTCAGTATTTGTAGCTATCGAGCTTGGTATAAAAAATAGAAAATTTAATGTTTCATCTTAAAGATGGAAATATTCTCTGAAGGACAAATGGATAAAAAATAAAGGTGTTAAATGAGATATTATCAGAGACAATGAAGCTATAAAATATATGGAAAAATTAAAATTCACTCAGTTTGCAATTTTTCTTTAATACAAAGATGTAACCGAATCATATCTAGTAACATGAAGGCCACTTATCTTGATGCACAGAACTTAAGTGCAGCACCACAGAAGCACAACTAAACATCAGATGACGCTGTATGTTACCATCTCTTTTTTTGGTAGTCAGCAGTGCTGATCTGCAAACATTGCTGTGCAACGAAGTTAAAATTCAGACTCAGGGGAAACTAGCTTTTGTTTAAAGAGATATAAAGTAAAGATAGGCTGACACAGCCACTTGCCCTATTTTAAAAAAATAATTCAAAATTCTAGGCAATTTCTTTATACTTTATACTGAATTGCAGCATAAGTAAACGTAAGTAAAATGAGTAAACGAATAACTTTTAATACAATTTACAGTTTACTAAGTTATTTTACAGAACAATTGCAGATCAGAAGTGCCCTGCACCAGATGACAGAAATATGGAAAAAAGAAAGAAAGAGAAGGAGGGGAAAAAATCAAACTGGTTAAAACACATACTGGGGAAAACTCAAATTCAACTGGCAAAAGTTTAGATGACCAAGAGCAAACACTGAATGATTAAGGCACAGAAAGCCAGAAAAACCCATGTCAGACGGCAAGAAGTTTTATTCCTATGCAAATCTAGACATAAATCACCAAATGCCATTAAATTACCAATGATCTTAAAAGACAGTACTGATCAAAATGAATTCACTCTGCTGCATGTTTCTTAATATATGATACAGATTTTAAAAGACATAGGCATATCTTTTTAAAGTAAATTTCTGTAAAGGCATTGTAAGCATAATCAAATTGCATTTACATGTTAGCTTCAAAGGAAAGGTTTTGAACAATGGTTCTGTGTGCTTACACATGTTTGCATTTAAAACACATCTTTTTTAAAACATATGACTAAAGCTGAAATTAGTTATTCTGTGAAAGGATCAACATATGAAGATTCTTCATGTATTTTTCATATATAAATCTTTCCCCAAAGTATGTGAGGAGCTGTATGTTTTTGAAAAATAAACCAACCAAAACTCTGCTATAATGACCAAAATCCTCACACTCCATTCCCAAACCAGGTGGATATAATTCTTCTGGAATTAAGGAAGCAACCACTGAGGTGATCGTGAACCATATCCGCTGTTAGAGATCTAGGATCCTAACTCCACTGCCCTTCAGCAGCGCTGTAACCTAAATCTTTACAGGCAGAGACTGCTCATCTCTCTCCGAGAATCAGTCATGATTAGGGAAGTATGAGCAATTCAAGATCGCATTTGCCAATACGGGCCAGACAATCCTGGCAAAAAAGACTACACTGGGAAATGGCACAACTACTGCGGAGACAGCAAATAAATGTATTAAATAAATGTTTAATTAAAAAAGAATTATGTTAAAATTAAAACCAGAAATAGGTAATTTTTCACCACCCTAACTCAATTTATCCTTAACATGATCTTGAGTATTTTATAGTTCTACTTCATTGTGGAATGAAATTCAAGAGATTTTGGAAGACATTTTCCATACTCGTGCAAGTCAAGTCTTTCTCCATTTCCATTCATTACTAAAGATCTCTAATCAATAGATCAGAGTCAAGGATTGGGGCCATCCAACTAGTCATGCAAATCTTCTTTCAAATCAGAATTAGATTTATAAGAGATCATGACTTGATAACAAAATACCATTTATTCATCCTTAATAACTTATTTTAGTATCTTGTTCAAACCCACTAGCTGCTCCACAGGTGATAGGTGGGCATTCTTCTCCTGTGAAGACTAAGAGTATCAGAAGCTGGAGGGGGGGCTGCTGTAAGGCAGACTCAACACTGGCAGTAGTTTTAATACTCCAGGAATGTAGAGAAATTTCTGGAACTTCTGTAGAGGAAACACTTTCTTTTCCATTCTCTTAAGAATACGACTTGAAATGAAAAATCCATACCCAAACACAAAAACCCAACGACTGAATTTGGAGAACTCTATCTGCATATAACAGACTTAAGACATGTAGTACTGATAAGTATAATTGCATTCTTAGGACTTTCTCTTAGCTCAATTTAGCAGGAAACTGCTTTCCCACATCTTCTTGCATTACCATTCATCTCCCACTTACTCTTCCATCCCTCACCTCAGAGTTGGTGTTTCCCAGGGAGTCATGCTTGGCTGCTCTGTCCTTACATTACACATCCCACTGGGATGATAACCCTGGGATGCTAATTACCACAAATACCTTGAAGATGCAGACATTTTTATATTCACTTCTCAAGAAATAGATACACTTTAATATCCTTGACATGAGCATTAAATGCTTGTAAACTATGAATCTGACCACTGCTGTTCTCTTAAACCTGCTCCCTATCCCAGCCCAACCCTGGCCTAGTCTTACAGTCTCTTTTCCATAAGTGGCACAACTATCCACTCGGGCCTCCAAAACAGGAAACGTGATTATTCAGCATTCATCCTTGCCTTTACCATCAACTTAATGTCCAAGCTGTATTGATTACAACCCTTAATTAACTGCTGAAATATCACTTATCTCAACTACCTCTGTCATGCCTCAGATCTATAGTTCTCTTATGAATTACTTCAATAGTCTGTCACCAATAAAAAGCCAAAACTCCTGCATAAAACTACAATTTCCCAAACCTCTGATCAGAAGATTCTCTCCTCTTTTATTGTTTTTCCTTTTCTCCCAATGAAACTATTATCATGAAATCTATTTTAGAGAATTTTAACCTAAAGTAGACACAAAACAAACAAAACTTCAATCACTTTTTAACTTAAATAGAACCATGATGTTCTCCCTGTCCTCCACCTCAGTCAACTTTAATTGCACATTAACAGAGAAACCCATTTTCCAAATGCCATGTTCCTTCTTTGTCTCACTGGAGCATCTAACCTAATGCCCACTGCTGCAGTTGACTCTCTCTCTCAGTGGCTCTGCAGGACAAAGCGGAACTGCTCCACAGGGTGTCCACAGTACACCTTCTGCAGAAGCAGACTGTCTGGTCTGCTCCAAACATGCCAAGAGCTTTCACAGCGCTGTCTTTTGCCCCTGGGGTCTCCTCCAACTCCTCCTCTGAATAGGCTCAGTTCAAATATGACTTCCTTTCTGATACTTTCCTACTAAACTAATAAAATGAGCTTTTTATTCTGGTTCAAGAAGCACTTGTAGCTTGTATATGTTTATATATTACAGATAGTTACATGTTGCAACATATATTTCTTGAGAGTATTATCTATTTTATTTCTGTGTAACTAGTGTCTTACAGGGTATCTAAACATGGCAGATGCTGAAAATGTCCACATGGATTACAGGACAGTCCCAAAATCAGACTACAGATACCCTGGTGACCAATCAGAAAACGCAAAAATGTCAGTGGTATCTTGTACTTCCATTCAGTAATACTAGCTTTGTGTAATAGTATAGAAAATCCTTGACTGTCAAAACCCAGCTGTGTCAAGTTTATGTTAATTGGATGTCTGCTACTGCTAAATAATTTTACATAATATCTTACATATTATATGAAAAATAAATACAGATGTGGGAAAGAACATAAAATGAAAAGCTTTTAAAACGTTACTTCTTTTGAAGGACAGTGGCTATGTAAAAAGTCTCGGAATGAAGAAGACACTATCCTGCTCTCCACATGCACTGAGGGTACAGATGGGGCAGAGAAGCAGCCTGACTGTGCAGAAGATACACCATGGGCGCTACAGTGAAAACCACTGAGCCTCTGGTCCTGCAGTTTACTACATGGAAGCTAGGGGGCAAACTTCTCAAGCTAGGTAAGACATCTATAAAATAAGCATGACCTATTTTGCAGGACGGTTAATATAAGTAATTATTATATATAAAATAGCTAGCATAGTCCTGGGGCACAAAGCAGAGGCTCAAAAACATGAGTTTCTTCAGAGAGCAATCCCTCTTTGAAGAGAAAACTAAAAAAATTAAAAAAAAATCCAGATCTATAAACACAGAGGAAGATGGTAAAAGTGACCCTGAAAACAAATGTGTCTCCTAAAGAGCACAGGCTGCTGAAACATTGAAAAAGAACCGGTATTTCTCTGATGGGGCAATCAATGAACCCTTGACCATCCGTAACCACTCTGCTATTAAGAAGGAAAAAAAATTAACGCTTTTAGATGCTTCTTCACTCTTAGGGAGGTGCACACGTAATGTAATGAGACAGAAGGTACTCTAGTGCTGTGGTCTGCAATATACGGCCCTGCTATCTAAAAGGTCCTGTCTCTGGAGCATTGAATTCACCAGCAGCTCCCATAGAAGCTGATGGGCGGTCTACTCCACAGAGATTTCCAACCTCCGAGACTCACTGGAAGGCCACAGTCAGTGGGCATCAGTTTGACTGTAGGGTGTTTGGCTTGGGGGTTTTAACAACAGATGACAATTAATTTTTTTGTGCATTATTTTTTATAAGCTTTCAATGTATTCTGATATGTTTTAAAGTTCCTAACAGAGTCAAAAGCATTTTTGGAAATGAAAATTTTAAGTGTTTTTTTGAAACTCTTTTATAGCTTCATCTATACCATATGAACTCATTTGTTTTTTAAAAAAGGATATGGTACAAGAGCACTGACAATTTGAAAGCTATTATCTTGGGGTAAAAAGTAGGCTCTTCTACTTCCAGTGAGTATGAATGATGACAGGGGTTCTTCTGTGAGCATACGCTCATCACTTGCTGTCATCAAGTTGCAGCCGACTCATCGCTGACTCTCAGAAGGTCTCTGAGGCTGTAAATCCTACAGGGGATTTACACCTTTCTCCTGTGGAGTCGCTGCCAGAGACGTGCAGCCTTTGGGTGAACAGTTTAACTTCTGATGGAAAATGTCACCAGAGCCACCCAAGGACACTCTGATAACTAAAAATTATTTTATTACTACAAACACAGTACAGTCTTCATTTCAATATTTGCTATTCACTATCTGGCATTTGTCTGTATGTCTGGACAGACACCCTTGGCTAGAAGGTTAGGCTGGTTGTCTTTATGGAAGCAGATTTCCAGGCCTGGCTCTTCAGTGGTGTCCCTGGTGGGTTCCAACCACCAACCTTTCAGGGAGCAGCTAAGTGCAGACAGCTGTGCCACTCAGAGCTTCACGGTATATACTTCAGTTTCAAAATGTAAGGCCTAAATCACCACATATGTAGCTTCTTTTACTCTTAGGTAAGCTGGTGCTTTCTTTAGGTCCTCCACTTTTCTTCATTCTTCTCTTTCTGCTCTACTTTTCTTAATGAGCTCATTAACTGACTCTGTATCAAAAAAGTTTGAATCGGTCAAACTTTCATTTTCTAGTTCTAATAAAATACTGGAAGGGAAAGAAAATGTTATATAAATAATGACATACAGACAGAAAGTTCTATCTTCTCCCTTTCTACCTAACTTGCCATGAATAATTAAGAGACTGAACAACTAATTATTATAAATTTTAACTAAACACTTTGCTTTTTATCAAGAGATCATGAGGATGGCACAGTGTAAGTTAAGGCTCAGATTTGTTGTTCATTGGATCAGAGTTTTATTTATTAGGCCTCTAACAACAAGAATCAGAAGTACTAACATAGCTAAGTAACAAGAACACTAATGAAACTCTTGAATTTCAGTAAGTGTAAAAGGTAAATTCTAAATGTTAGTAAAAGAAAGAACATAATGTGACTAATTTCTAGGTAGGAGTAACTTCCAAATACGTAACAACTTATATTATAAATTAACAAATAAAGATATGTATGGTTATTCTGCTAGTTAAACTGCAGATTTACTATCTAATCTCAAATATATATTACTATTTATCAAGTGAAATAATTATGACAACTTATTGTTATTAAAATAATCCCAACTGATTTGCGAATTTTTATACTATTGCTGTTAACAGTTTTCATACAACTGTCAATGTTTTTAGTTAATAGAACTTGACACAAGGAAACACATTATTCTAGTTTACTTCTCCAAAGAATTGATGATTCTTGTTTATACTGTGGAGTACATTCCTTGGTGCTAGTTAAACTAAAAACAATCAAATAATTTTCTTTCTAACATAAAGTTATTTGAGATATTAAAATAGCCTGCCTCTATTATCAATCAAGGAATAAAACCATATATTAGAATGTCATAAATATTTAGGTCAACCTAATTCTTTATGCTAAGAAGTAGTGTATCTGTGCAATCTGATGGTGACGTGAACCCACTGTGCTACTGAAGTCTCACATAATCCCCACAAATGCTTCATCTTCCTCATCAGCACAAAAGGAAAGAGGAGAATTCTAGAACTCTTTATGAATTCATACACATTTAAGATAGTGCTTAAAAAGGAACAAATGTTGCTTAAAAATTAGCACTTATTTTTCTTCAAAATGAAGGAGCTCTGATGGCATAGCATTCTAAATGTTGGGCTATTAACCAAAATGTCAGTGGTCAGAACCCACCAGTCACTCTGCAGGAGAAACAGTGGTCAGAACCCACCTGTCAATCTGCAGGAAAAAGATGAGCAAGTTAAATTCCATAAAGACTTAGTGCCTTGGAAACACTAAGGGGATGTTCTGATCTTCCCTGCAGGTAATACATGTCAGAACAGACTCAAAGGCAGTGCTACTGGTTTGGGGTTTTTTTCATGAGTATGACAAGAAGGATGGGCAGTCTCCTCCCACGTGATTAACTTCCTCTGAAAACCCACTGGTGGTTTAGCAATGGGTGTGTTACAACCCGATAGTACTCCACAACAACATGACAAGTAAACATGTGGTGGATTTTAACATGCTACCTTAAAAAAAGGAAGACAAATTCAACAGAATTAGGTAAGAAGGGAAGTCCCTACACCCACTGTATCCATATATCCCACATGACATCTCTACTGTTCCAAGAGTACCCACTATTCTGAATAGATAAGAGTCCAAAATGTGATCTCTTCCAGAATCAGAGTCCTAGGTAAGCTACAGTTCCTATGAGCCATTTAACAATGTCGGTGGTAGGTACCACAGCCTAGAGAGACCAAAAGGTACAAAACGACAGGCACTTAGAGAGCTGGGGCTACTACACCGGAGAATCCTAGGGTGGATACTCAGCAGAATCCAACAAGGCTTGCCTGGTGCAGATAGTACACTGAATACAAACAGGTCCTCTCAAGGTGTCAAGACCCAGTGTCAATGATCAGGACATGGAGTAGAGAGGAGGAAAGAGACTACAATGAGAAACAATTAGGAAGAATGTTAGCCTTCCTGTTGGAATAGGCAGGGTTCAGGAGCTCTCTGTTGTACCATCTATGTTCTTCTTGTTGTTGTTGATTGCCTTCAAGTCGAGCATGACTCATAGCAACCCAATGAACAGAAGGCCTGAAGCCCCTCTACAACTATCAACATTTAACATGCCTCCAGAAACTCTATGAACCAAATATGAGTTCTTTGTCTTCTGGCTCACAGAAATGCCAAGAGGAGGCTTTCCTGCAGAAAGGGTTTAACAGTGGAGGCATAGACCAGGAACTCAAGGCATTGGCTTTATACACCAAACAACATGGAAGTGTTTCAATCACTTTTTAACTAGTGCCAATAGAGTTGTACTGGTATAGAATGCTAGAATCCTCTCCTTGAAGAATCAAAAGAATGAAGGTCAGGTCCAATTAACTTTGAGCTATACAATGGCGAACCTAAAACTGGCAACTGTATAATGTTGGCTGCAAGCAGAATGCAGTAAACTGTATGTGCACATAACCAGAAATCTACAGAGCCACTAAAGAAGGAGCTGGAGGGTGGGAATGTTCCTTCAGCCAAATAGGAAAATAACTTTGTACAATAACTATATACTATATCCATACACCAAATCATAGAAGTCAAAATTCTACCCATTCTATTATTTCTTGAATGCCAAAGAAACTGTTTGTCTTTACAATCTTACTCACCTGCCACTTTCTCATCAGTTTCTCTGTTACCATCATCTGAATATCTTGCAAAGTCTAAGGAGTCAAGGGTACTGATGCTTCCAGCTCGATCTATAATAAAGAGGGAGGGGAAATCAATGAATGAAATGAAGTTTTTATTTGACAACTGGAATTCAGTTACCAATAATTCCCAGCTACTAAAATGATGACCCTAAGGTCTAGGAATTCTATTAAAACACTAAGGTAAAATGTTCCTAGTAATTAAGTTACTTTAAAATAACATGTTGTTGTTGTTGTTATGTGCCGTCGAGTCGCCTGCGACTCATAGCGACCCTATGTACAACAGCCCTAAACTCTGCTCTGTCCTGTGCCAATCGCACTGTCTCTGACACTCCCATCCCAATTATCCCAGTCGCTGAATCAATCCACCTCATAGAGGGCCTTCCTCTCCTGCGCTGTCCCTCCACCCTCCCAAGCATGATGTCCCTCTCTAAGGACTGGTCTCTGTTCACAACATGTCCAAAGTAAGTTAGACGGAGCCTCAGAATCCTTGCCTCCAAGGAGCCACCCGGTTTAACCCTTTCCAGGACAAATCTGTTTGTTTTCCTAGCAGTCCATGGTATTCTCAATACTCTTCTCCAGCACCACAGCTCAAAGGCATCAATTCTCCTTCTATCCTCCTTGGTCACTGTCTAACTCTCTGATGCATAACAAGTGATTGCGAAGACCATAGCCTGTATCAGACGCACCTTAGTCTCCAGAGAGACATCATTGCTCTTCAGCACTTTGGAGAGGTCCCTAACAGCAGACTTTCCCATGGCAATGCGCCTTTTAATTTCCTGGCTGCTGGTGCCAAGACTGTTGACTATGGAGTCAAGCAAACTAAAGCTCTGAACAATCTCAATCTCTTCACCATCCATCCTGATGCTGCCAATTGGTCCAGTGGTGAGAATCTTTGTCTTCTTGACATTGAGCCTCAATCCATACTGAAGGCTGCAGTCCTTGACCCTCTGCAGCAAGCGCTTCAGGCCCTTCTCAGTTTCAGCAAGCAGGGTTGTGTCATCTGCATAACGCAGATTGTTGATAAATCGTCCACCAATCTTGACCCCACATTTCTCCTCATAGAGCCCAGCCTCCCGGATAATCTGTTCTGCATATAGGTTGAAAAGGTATGGAAATAGGATGCATCCCTGGCGTACGCCCTTCCCAATTTTGAACCATGCAGTGTTCCCTTGCTCTGTTGTGACGACTGCCTCCTGGTCCAAGTATAAGTTTCGCATTAGAACGATCAAGTGTTCTGGGATTCCCATTCTTCTCAGAGTCAGCCACAGTTTGTTATGATCTACACAGTCAAATGCCTTTGCGTAGTCAATGAAACACAGATAGACATTCCTCTGGTATTCCCTGCTTTCAGCCAAGATCCATCTAACATCAGCTACAATATCTCTAGTACCACGGCCCCTTCTGAAACCAGCCTGGACTTCTGGTAGTTCTCTGTTGATGTGCTGTTCCAGTCATTTTTGGATAATCTTCAGTAAAATCTTGCTTGCAGGTGAAATCAGTGAAATTGTTCTGTAGTTTCCACATTTGGTTGGGTTGCCTTTCTTTGGGATAGGAACAAATATTGATCTCTTCCAGTCAGTTGGCCAAGTGGTCGTTCTCCAGATAAAATAACATAGGTGAAAAAAAAATAAAATAAAAATAACATAGGTGTTACCTGACCATACATGCAGGACAAGCAATCCTGATTAAGGCAAAAAACTGAACTGAAATGTCAATTACCACCTAAGAGAGTTTATAGTTCTGTCTAAACAAGATAATTAAAGGAAAAAAGAAACCAAAACCAACACTCTGCAAAAGGAATAAAGCAAAATCAAGTCTCTGTAATAATACTGTCTCCATTACAATCAGAAATTATTTAATAGAAAAGAATCGAGAATATATGACCTAGTTTTAAGTTCATAAACAAATTAGTATCTAAGTGAATTAAAAATATTTATAAACGAATTTAACAAGAAGTTCAAATCACAAAGAATATGAAAAACAATGCCACGGAGAGATGACTGTTTTACATCCAATAAAATGTCCTAAAAAGCCCCATGGGCAAAGTGACTAAGGGCTGGACAATTATCTGAAATGTGAGAGGTCGACACGCACAGAGGACTCTGCAAGTACAAGACCTGACAATCTGTTTCCATCGAGATTGCAGCTTAGAAAATTCTATGGGGCAGTTCTGCTCTGTTACATGGGTTTGTGACCTTAGGGCACCTAATAAAAGATATATAAAAATAAAGTAAGAGAGACAGAAAATAGTAAGTGTTGGAAATAGAAAAACTAATTCTCATACGTGGCTAATGGGAATGCAAAATAGCTCAATCAATATAGAAAACAGAAGGGCAGTTCCTTAGAAAGTTAAACAGATTTACCATATGACTCACAACTCTAACCCTAGGTAAAAATGAACCAAGAGAAAGGCTACTGAAGCAAAACACAAATAATTACCAGTACCTACAGAAATGTTACATTGCTTCCCCTGTCTTTGAGGATAACATAGAGGAAGAATGGGAATCCCAGAAGAATATTTAATGGTGCTAATGAGAAACCTCTACAAAGACCAAGAAGTAGCTATCTGAACAAGAGAACACTGCATGACTTAAAATCAAGAAGTGTGCATCAGGGTTGTATTCTTTGAGCGTACCTATTCAATCTATACGCTGAGCAAATCATTCAAGAAACTGGACTATATGAAGAATGTGGCATCAGCATTGGAAGATGATTCCTCAACAACCAGCTTTATGCAGATGACACAAATCTTGCTTGGAGAAAGTGAAGGCAACTTGTACTACTTTCAAAATCAAGCTTGTCTTCCAATGCACTCTGGGGAAAGGTTTGAACCACCAACTTTTTGACTAGCAGTCAAGTACTTAACTATTTGGGCCAAGTAGGATGAATACTTAACTAATATTTTGTTGTTACAACAGACTTCATTCTTTTACTCCTGACTTTAACAGAATGTTGCATGTAACACCAGCTGTTACTTTGAGACATATTTTTTGTTAGTATCTACTTAGTGATATTTTACTAAGCCTTTCTCCCTCCCCTAATATTTAATGTACATGCCCAGATGAGAGTGTGTTTAGTCATGATGCATTTTTTTCACCTACAGTATTATTTATCTGAGTTTTTCCAAAGTTAAATTTTCAATTTGTAATTATTATAGTAGCTGTAAAAGTACATTTCCTTTTTGGCCTTCCAAACGTTTAAGCCAAAACTATGCGAGAGGAAAAGTTCTGGTAACTTTTTAAGCACTATACTTGTACACAAAAGAAAAAAACCCCTTTAATTCATATATTGCATTTTATCAAGGAAAAATATTTATGAAGTTAATTTTAACTCTGACTGGAGCACTTTAAAATGGGTTTTTAAAGAAAAATGTATATTGGATTTTTGGGAATTTTTATTAATATGCATATAATTATTCATATACATTGTGTTTCATTCATTGTACACTGGCTTTTAATGCTACTAAGAGGTACTAGAACATCAATGCTGCTTTAGATTTATCATCATTTTTCTTGGAAAAACAAATGGTTTTTGTGTTCTAAATCCTCTAGTATAAAAGAGGAAGAACCAGGAAAAAAATTTTTTTTTAAAAAGAAAAAAGCTATCATATTCTGATATGAAGTGCTTTAACCACAAAACATTTTTTTAAACCATCCCAGATATTTGTGGAACAATTCACTTTATAACTAAAAAAAATTAATGATCAAGGGCTTTCATCATAGTTGGCAAACCAGTAAATCTTGTTCATAAATTTTATCAGGTCAAAATTAAATCTACCATACACAGTGTGACTATAAGGCAGGCAGACTGATTTTATAATTTGCACGTTATTGTTGTATACCATAGTGTTGGAACCAACTCATAGTTGATCCTCCACAGGGTTTTCCACAGTTGATCCCACTGCATGGGAAGTGACAGTCCATCCATCTTCCTTGGAGGATTCAAATCATGTGCTTTTGAGATTGCAGGACTAGGCCACCAGAGCTCTACATATAGCAAGTGATATTTACATGTTACCTTTTAGTGCTACTGACTGAATGAACATCTGCTAAAGTTAAAAAATTAGTCTCAGATCCTTTTGTGTGTTTGTGTAAAGTATGATGTTGTTGTTGCCGTCAAGTCAAGCATGATTCATAGTGACTCCATGAATGAATGCCTTTCTATAACTATCGTCATTTCTCTAATTTCATAGAGTTTCCATAGGCATGTGGTTTAGGAAGTGGATTATGTAGTACTTTAAAAATGAAATGCATCAGTAAAGTTGACTATTAAAGAAAACCCATTACCACTGAGTTCTCTACTGGCTTTCTTCTTTTTTTTTTAAATTATTTTTTTTTAATTATTTTGTGTGTGTGTACCGTCAAATCAGATCTGACTGGTACAGGAGGAGATTGCCCCTCCTTTTCCAGCAGAGCATCTGGTGGATTCAAACTGTGCACCTCTGGGATTGCAGTGCAGGTTCTTGCCACTAGGCCATCAGAGCTTGCCTCTACTGGCTTTCTGAGGCTCCAAATCCTCACAGGGGAAGAATGCTCATCTTTGTTCCATGAAGCAGCTTGGGGGATTTCAACTGTTGACCTTTTGGTTAGCAGGCCTGTGCACTGCACCTACCCAAGCAGAACTTGACCATGAGCGCTCTGGCTGATTCAAGCACTTACTAAGCAATCACTGCCTAGCTGTTATGTGCTGCCGAGTTGATTCAGGCACAAAGTGACCCCATGCGACCCAGGAGAACTACCCTATAGAGAGGGCTTCCTAGGCTTTGTCTTTATGGGGCAGATCACCTGCCCTATTTTCTGGTAGAAGCATTGGTGGACTTGAATCACTGGGTCTTAACAATATCCAAAAAGGTTACTCTGCCAGGCTTTTCCCACATGAAAAAGCTAACAGGAGTAAGATTAAGTTGGTATAATATAACATAACATTGAAACCAGTACTTCAGAGCTCTCCCTTTCATGCAGGCCTCAAGTTCATGAAGGCCAGAGTGAAACAACTCTCAGCTCCCACTACTCAAGGTCAGCTTTGACATGGATGCCCAGAGAAGGCAG